GACAACACAGAGAGAAAGAGAGAGTTAGTTCTGCTTTACACCACCCCTCCGATCTCTGGCAACCTATCTTCAGCCCACCCTAATGGATCCACAAGCAGTGCCAAGATTTGATAAAGCCAGGCACTCAGATGTTGATGTTGCTTTGCTTCAGCTGTTTGAAATACTTCATGACTTAAAAAGCAATTTTTTCTTTTGGAGTTAGCATCATTGTATTTCTAGTTTCATGCATGGTGGATTCCTTATCAAGCTATATTTAATGTACTTCTAATTAGAAAGAGGGAGGAAAGTGGTCAAAGCTTTCTCAGTGTTGTTTTCTCTTTTGTTTGTGTTTCTACAGCTCACCTTGTTAAAACGGGAACTTGTGAGGTGGTGGCACTCCACAGATGCTTACATCGCCTATTTTGCTAGTCCTCTTAAATGAAAAACAGGTTGTGGGGCATGTGGGAGGACAAGATTATGCTTGAAAACTAGGACCAGGTGGAACCATAGCCTGTTGAGCTAATGGCTGCCCGGAGTCCAGCATGTTCTTTATTTATAGTCTTAAAAAGCAATTTAAGGTGAGAATCCATTTATATTCATTGTTAATCCCCTAGGAGAACAATGTCAAAATTAATCCCCACCACCACCAAAATAGTTAACTTTTTGAAACTACCAAAAATATTATGTAAATGTATAGTCTTTCCAGTGAATAAATTAACAGGCCAGGTGGAAATGATCCTGGTGATTCCAATTTCATCTGTCTTCTTAAGTGTTTGCAAAGTGATACCATAGCTTAATGTTAGCAGAGGAGATAGAAGATCAGTTTTTGCTTGAAATCAGATCCCTGAGTACTCATTACACAAGATTAAACTGTAGTGCTTACGTAGAATTAACTATGTATCTTGTAAACCTGAGCAAACAGACAAGTATTTCCCATATTGGCTACACTTTGTTTTTGAGTTGGAAATACCAATTTTGAAAACCTGTTTTAAAAATCTTACAAATATTTCATAATGTGCAGACAGTGAAAGAAAATACTAGATCATGTTTGAGGTCTTGTAATCCATTTAGTCTCAACAATTAAGGATATTTACAAAGCTGGCTTTGAGAACTATTATGAACTACTCTACCAAGCTACAAACTAAAAGTGTAAAGGAATAATAGTCCAAATTAAAGCTAGAGATAAAAAAAAATAAAGCCAGAAATGTAGTCTTATTTTATAAACAATTAGGAAAAAATGATTGTTCATCTCTGTAACCCATGTTGCAGTTTAGGCCTTTATTTTAAAGTCAAAATACATCACTTCAGTACTCAAAACTTTTCTTTCAGTACTGAGGATTAAACCCAGGGCCTACACTCTGAGCTACATCCCAGTCTTGTTTTATTTTTTATTTTGAGGCAGGACCTCACTAAATTGCCCAGGCTAGGCTCAAACTTGGAACCCTCCTGCCTCAGCCTCCCAGAGAACTGGGTTTACAGGTGTACACCACCATGCCTGGCAAAGAGAATGTGTCTTTTTGAGGTAGGTCTGTGGTCATCTGCAAATTAGGTAAAAATAGAGAAGGCAAGCATACAAGTAAAGCTTTTTTTGGGGGGGGGTGTTATCTGAGATCGAACTCAGGACCTTGCACTTGTAAGGCAGGCACGGTGCCACTGAGCTAAATCCCCGGGCCCATGTAAACCTTTTTATATGCTTGTTAAGCCTTTTCCAGGATTGTTAGAATTTTCTTCAGAGTGTTTCCTGTTTGATTTGATTCTGGGTATGTTATATTTAAAATTCTTTCTATTTGATCCCTGGTACCAAAAAAATAAATAAATAAAATAAAATTCTTTCTAGCATGTAAAATACAAATGATTAAAAATGAGCAGAAATTTCAGGAACAAAACGTTATGCAAGGCTTTCATTAAATTAGAGTATGAGATGTGTAAGATTTTTAGAATCAGAATTTATTGCTTCTTTGGCTTAGTGACTATAATTGGGTAAATTCTACCTCTTTGCTCTTTATTTGCTCTAGTCATTATGCTTCACTTTAAAAAAGGCTCCAATCTGAGGTCATTGTTCTGTAATCCTCCCAGCTGGAGGGAGCCACTGTTGTTTTCCTATATATCTTTTCATTCTTTTTTCCGTGAGATACATGTTGAATATGACCCATTGGTTGATTGATTGATGGATTGATTGAGATGGGGGGGTCTCACTATGTAGTTCAGGCTGGCCTTGAACTCATCATGTAGCCCAAGCTGGCCTAAAACTTTTGGCAATGCTCCTGCCTCAGCCTGCTGAGTGCCAAGATTATAGACATAGGCCACACACTTGGCAAATGTGACAAATTTCAAAACAAATTATTTTGTACAAATTTATGTAATAACTAAACTGAGGTCATTTTTAAAAAAACAATTTTTGTTTTAAACTGGGCATGGTAAAAAACAAACAAACAAAAACTGGGCATGGTGGGTGTCACGTAAAAGGCCGAAGACCAAGACCAGACCAGGCCACAACAAGCCTTTATTAGGGGAACAGATCTGCCGGGCTGCCTCTGAACAGAGGAGAGACAAAAGCAATATAGCCAGGATAGAAAGTCCCTTTTATAGGGGCTTGTAGGAGCTGAGGTGGGGTTGAGTGAGGTAGTGGCTAGGGACTGGAGGAGCCTGTGACATCACTAGTTGCTAGGAGGAGAGCAAGTATTAGGTTACTTTTTTGGTGGGAGCAGGGGCGTGTTGGAAAGAACATAGCTATTATGTACAGCGGCCACCCTAAATTGGAGGGAAATCTATCAGTGGCATACATCTGTAATCCCAGCACTCTGGGAGGCTGAGGCAGGCAGATCCCAAGCTCAAGCCCATCCAATCCTTTTTCAAAATTAAAAACATTTTTTTCTTTTTTTTTGGTACCGGGGATCAAACTCGTGACCCTGCGCTTGGGAGGCAGGCGTCAGAACCACTGAGCTAAATCCCTGGCCCCCCAAAAAATTTTTTTAAAGAGGGAAGACTGGAGTTGCTCATTGTGAAGGTCTTGGGTTCAATCCCTAGTGCCATAATAAAGGGAAAAATCAGCTGGGGAGGAATAATAGAGTGAAATGAAAATAAAGGACCAGAATCCAAGCATATAGAATGAAGACGAAATGCGACTATTTTAAGAATCACGACCTTTAGGGCATGAGTACAGGCAAGGAAGTTCCTCTTCTTGTCTATGTTTTAAAAGAGTCACATCCACATCAAAGAGACATTTCCATGCCCCCAGGGAAGCTGGCAGGGGAGGGAGTTAGCTGGGTTACTGCCAGGAAGGGGCACATTGTGGCAGTTGAGTATGTGGGAAACAGGAGGCAGGGACGGGCCCAAAAGAGACTCTCAGGAAGTTAGTTCCATTCTTTGGCCCTCCCCACCGTTCTTCATTTTAAAGCTGAGTTTCCCAATTTTCATTTGAAAACGACCTTTATGAGTTTTGTTGATCCAGATAATAGTGTGTCTAATATTACTTTGTTTTCTTCAAATTGATACACAAACAAAAACCTGAGGTGGAACTTGTGATCCTCCTGCCTCAGCCTCCGGGAGTTCTGGGGTCACAGGCCTTAGCCACCAAGCCTGGCTGAGGCCCCTTCCTAATAGTGCCCCCCACTTTGAAAACTGCCTTATGTGTAACCTTCCAAGAAGCAGAGGTTCAAATCTCACTGGCTATTTATGGGCGGAAGCAGTCTTGAGGAGCCTCAGGGTGTCGCAAGGTTAGAGAGGGATAAAAGCATGAGGTTTTAAATAGGAAAATGCATGCACGACTCTGAGGACTCCCCATCTCTCAGAGTTGGCGAGAGAATAGCTCTGCGGGCCACCTGGATGTCAGCCCAATGAGAATTTCCTGGCTGAGGCTGCCCAACTTTCATGACAACCCTGTAACAGGACCTGCAGGATGGCCTAAAGGTAGGACAAGGCTCATGTCACTGGCTCCAAAGGTGTCACCTAAGAGCCAGGAAAATGGTGCCAGAGAAGGGGGAGGTGGCAGAAGGCTGGGTGAAGGCAGGCAAGTTTGAGAGCTTGTATTTCTAAGAAAGGAGAGATAGAGAGAGGAAGAAGAAGCGGGGGAGGGGAGGGGAGGGGAAGGGGAAGGGGAAGGAGGACATACTGGACAATGGGTCTGTGTGGTGAGCTGGCTTAGCCAGACCCCTAGCTTCACAGCCCCCTCCGACTCCCCTCCCTTCAGTCTTGTCCTGTTTGCTTTTACTTAACTCTCTCTCATGTCAATCAAGCCCCCAGTGGCAGAAATCACATCAGGAAGAGTGACTTTATGCGGCCTAAAATCTCTTCATATTAATTTCAGAGTCAGATGAATCTCCAAGAAAAAAGCTCAATGATGGCACTTATTTGTGACATTCTTTTTTTTTTTTTGGTACTGGGGGTTGAAGTCAGGACCTTGCACTTGCCAGGTAGGCTCTAGCACCACTGAGCTAAATCCCCAGCCCCAAGGAATTGCTTTTTTTTTCTTTTTCCAATACTGGGGATCAAACTCAGGACCTTGTGCTTGCTAGGCAGGCACTGGAACCACTGAGCTAAATCCCCACCCCTGACATTTCTATTTTTACACCTGATTTCCCTGCTTCCTCACATACGATGTCAGTGTGGCTTTCTCAGTGCCTGAGAGGACCCGAGATCTTCAGAAGACTCCTTGGTCCCCACTCACTGAAGTCCCTCACTTTTTGTGGGAATAGTACTAGGACTGAACCCAGTGCCTTCACACTGAGCTACATCCTCAGCCTTTTAAAAAAATGTTTTATTGAGACATAGTCTTGCTAAATCACTAAGTTACCCAGGCTGCCTTGAACTGGCAATTCTTCTGCTTCAGCCTCCCAGAGTGCTGACATAATAGGCGTGCACCACCACACCTAGCTTGGCCTCTCTACCTTGAAGAGAAAAAACACTCCCACACATCAGCCAATGACAAGAAGCTGTCTTTATTGGGTGATTTTTAAAGACATTGCCTTCAGGGGGCCCTTACGGGGTCATCAGGGCATACCCACCACCAAAAAGGCTGTGGAGTGTCTTTTTATCCTCACTCAAGCAATGAGCAAATTGCAGCAGTGTTTCAGAGAAATTAGTAAATTAGTTTGGGGTAGGATGCAGAGTTTCCCATTCCCAGGGTTCTGGAGGCCTTCCAGCTGAGTGTTCCTTCCTCTCTTTTCTCCAAGGACTGGGGCTTTTAAGAATGTACCATTTCCTGGAATTCTAGAACAGAAGAGGCGAGAACAGGGTCAGTGGGGTTGGCACTTTATAGATGTGTCCTCACCATGAGGGTTCTGAAGAGGGAAGGAAATGACAAAGCACATTCTCAGATGACAAGCGTGGTCCCCTTGGAAGCCACCAGAGGAAGAAAACTGGGTAGCACATCTCTATAGCATCCCATCTCTCTGCATAATCTTCCTTAACACGCATTTTCACCTTTAGAACTCACCAACCCGATCACCTCTCTACCAATGAAGGGATTCTGTGTAGCTGTGTAGTGCAGTCTGTGAACATTTACCTTTTAGCCTGGTCAGTTTAAGACAAAAATGGGAGGTTTTCTTCCTTTATTCTGTAGCAGTATGTTGCATTTTCAGGGAATAATAGGGTGGATCTTTGAACAAACTTGTCTCTATTGAACCCTAAATTTATTCCTGGAAGTTTATGTTACTTAAAGAAAGATGATGGTAATACTAAGTTGTTGGGTCGGGGATTTAGCTCAGTGGTTCTGGCGCCTGCCTCGCAAGCACAAGGTCCCAAGTTCGATCCCCAGCACAAAAAAGCAAAAAAAAAAAAAAAATAGTAAGTTGTTAATGCTGTAGGTTGAAATTGAACACTAGGATTTGCTTTATATTTGTTGTTCGTTTTGTTTCTTCTTTGCAGTGCTGAGGATTGATCCCAGGGCCTTGATTGATCCCAGGGCCTTGCACATGCTAGGCAAGTGCTCTGCCACTCAGCTACATCTCCAGCCTATTATACTCATTGGTAAGCTTGGTCTCTTTGGAAATCTTTCATGGTTATATATAAATAAATCAATCTTCCCATGCCTAAACTATTTTCACGAGCCATATATAGAAACTGCAGCCCCTGTTGTAGTAAGCTATAGTGACATATTTTGAAGGATTTAAAGTAACACTTTTAAATTTCAAATTAGTGTCACTAACAGGACCAGCCTAGATTCTGCTGAGTTGGCACAAAGTCTGTACAAAGCATAGCAGCAACGTGGCAAAACCTAGTGACGACGATTTCACAACCATGCAATGAGGATAACATTCCAATGCAGGGCTTTGCACACAGAAGAGTCCATAAATGGTGTCCTCTTTTTAATATGGTCCACTTGCTGGGCTCATGACTAATCAAATGTATGTACTTTGTTTAAACCCTTGAAAGGTAAGAGGATTTTGCACGAAAGCCAATAGAGCCTTTGATGTGGGACACCCTGGAGAATGCCAATCTGTCACTTACTTGGAAGGCTCAAATCCCACTGGTGGAAGCCCTTGCATTATTTTTAAAGTACATCAGAGCACCTTGCAAGTAACGGGCCAGGTGGTTAGGTAGTGTCCTCATCAGGTGAAGGAATTCTTCTAGGTCATAGAAAATGACCAGAGGACTAGCTGCTATGGCATATCCCAGGCATCATGCCAGATTTTTGCTGCTGTTGTTGTTGGTAGTGCTGAAAATGGAGCCCAGGGCCTTACACTTGCTAAGGATATGCTATACTACTGAGCTACGTGCCCGCAGTGTCAGGATTTTTATTCACCACATTGGCATCCTCACTTTTAATCTCATTTTACAGATGAGAAGACTGAGGCTCAGCAAGATTAAGAAAGGGGGCTTTAACCTCCACCTGCCTAATACCATGGCCCAAGCTCCCACAGGTGCTCCCTCAGGTAAGGTGTTTTAAACCGCGTGTGGTTATAGACGTACCATCCGCCCCAATTTTCCCATCGCCATCATTATCTGCAGCGGCCATCAAAGACTTGGTTTCTGACTCGGTGAGTTCTCTAGCACTGCTCTCAAACTTCTGGAGGAAAAACCTAAGGGATAATAAAGATTGACGGGAAATTTCTAAAATTTTCTATTTTCTTTCCTTCTTCCTTCCCTTTCTTCTCTTTAAGCCCACCACTCTTTCCAGTAGTCATAATAATCAGTCAAGATCTTAGCAAGCAAAGATTTCCTGTGCTGTAGAAGCCAACGGCAGACATTTATTTTGAACAGTTTTGTTAAGTCCATCAGCCAAAGGAAATCTCTTAAGCTAAGGACTCTGCACTTAGGTCTTCAGCACCGTGTTTGGTGCTTTGTGTTGGGGAAAATACAGTCCACTGACTCCATTCCCTGCTGCCACTGAAGATCCCTGAGAACACTGGGCCCCTGCACCCCCAGAAGCCTAGCAACGTTAGGGTGCCCGGGACAAAGCTTACTTAAGCTCGTCTTCATCCAGGTATCCACTCTGGTCATTGTCTATGAACCGGAAGACATCCTTCACCTGACTGGCTGACATCTTGGTGAGGCCTGATGTTTGGAAGAATTTTTGGGGTTCGAAAGTATCTGGATCTAAAACACAGAGAATGGGTTGGTTATTTTGATGCTCCTTCGGGCACATTTTATATTTGGGCTATGGGGCTGAAAACAAAGATTATTTAAATGACTTTCATAATACCCTTGAGGTACAGGGATGCTTGACTGGCCCAAAGCCTTGAGATGGCATCCCAGAGTCACCCATCTCTGGCTCTCGCTTCCCCAGCTGCCCCTCTCCACTGGACTTTCCCCATCTCTCTTCTGCCTCTCTTCCTCCACCCCAACAGGCTGTGCATCCAAGTCCTCAACATTGCTGGTCTAGGGCCAGGGATTTAGCTCAGTGGTTCTGTCACCTGCCTCGCAAGTACAAGTTCAATCCCCAGTACCAAAAAAATAAAATAAAATAAAATAAAAAAGAATAATTGCAACATCGCTGGTCTAATTAGTGGAGGAAATGCAATCACTGGATTCAAGCAAGGTTAAGTCACTGTACTCTCACTTTTCCTAAGTTTTTTTCATCTCACAGTAATGTGACCACGTGCTGAGATCTCATAGCCCCATCACTGTACCTGTCTAATTCCTAGCAGTTTCATCCTCTGATTCTGTGGATCATTCAGCAAAGCTCACATGCTTGTTCCTGTTGCTTCACTGGAGGTGAGAATATGGGAGAAAACCCCACACCTGTCCCATATGCCCTTTACCTTGGCATTCCTGCAGGGCAGCTGCAATGTCATCAGGACTAAGCACGTCTGTGATGCTCATCTTTTACCTAGTCACATAGAATAAAGGAGATGTGACAAATGGCAAACAGGAACACACACATCTGGGGAATATACTGCTCATGCTCACCCAAACTATATTGCTTGTCTAGAATGAATTTCTCTCTCTCTCTCTCTCTCTCTCTCTCTCTCTCTCTCTCTCTCTCTGTGCTGGAGATTGAACCCAGGAACTTGTGCATGCCAGCAAGTGCACTACCACCGAGCCACATCCCAGCCCCTGTCTAGATTTTTAAAAATATGATAAGCATTTGTGTATGAAGCAATGGAGCAGGATATTCAAACAAAAACTAGACATGGGGAAAATCCCAGACTCTTCAGCTCACTGCCTTCTCCTGAATAGATTTCAAAGATGACATTTTCAAACACGACCCAAAGAATGACTTGATTCAGTTTTCTTATAAAAAATTATGTACACATCATCAATCACTTACATAGGCAGCTACAAATCACTCCAAAACAAACCATGTTGTAAATGCCATAGCATTTTCAAACATCAACTAGAGAATGTTGCAAATTCCATGTGGGAAAGGAGGCAGCTTGAGCTGCTGCTGAGTTCTGTGGAAGCCATGCTGGGCCCTGGAGGGTGGGACTCAGGTGAAGGAAAGCCACCGGAGGTCAGAGTCCTTCCAGGTATCAAAGCCAGAGGAAGAGAGAGATCTGAGCGCGACATGCACAGCCCTCCCACAAATGCTTGGAGAGAAGAAGACCTCGAGGTCTGGCAAGGCCCACCAGCTACTTACCCTTTTAGATTTCCCCTCCAAGAAGAGTCAGGGGAAAAAACAGAGTTGAAGGAGCCAAACACAGATGCGCTTTTGCTACCTTACTGACCTACCTTATATAGGATTGAAAAAGTGATAGTTACAACCTCTTAGATTTCCTTTTCAGGGATCAAGTGGATGTAGATCAGATGTCTTACTAATTAACCTTTTTTTTTTCTATTTATAGCTCAAGGGACCATGGGTGGGAACAGCCAATTTTAAAACAAACCTCAACAAACCTTAACTAAGGTTTCAATTCTGCAAATGAACCCCATTGGCAAAGAGTAGAGAAGATACTGGAGGCCTGGTGAGGAGGAGGAGGAGGTGGTGGCTGAAAGGAGATCAGCACACATAGGGGTGCTCTGTAAACTGAAAATGCTCCCCAGATGTTAGTGGCTGCTGTTGAGGCAGGTCTGCTTTCAGCTGCTAAAATTGTGGGTGTTGGGGGCCACTGTGTCTTGGGACGGCAGAAGGTGGGAGATGTGTGGATCTTCTTCTTTTTGTGGCTGTGGATGCCTTTCAGCACTGCCTTCCTGGCCTTCAAAGCATTTGCTTTGGCTTCAGCTTTGGGAGGAGCAGAAGCTTCCTTCTTTGCCTTTGGCGCCATCTTGGTAAAAAAAAAAAAAAAAGTTGTTTATTTTCTTAAGTGCAAACATAGATCCCATCTCACAATCAGGAGCAACCGGTAGCTTAGAGTCAGGAACTCTAGAGAGGGGCCTCAGACTTTCCCTGGAGGCTGATCTGCAAGATCACCTTCAGGTGCTCTCCTCCACCCCAGCACTGTACTGCCTTGGTGGCACCAAAGACCAGTTTGTCCCAGGGATACCTAACGCATCTCATAGACTACCAACCCTCAGGCCTGCACCATATCCATCTCGCTCACATTTTACTTCCTAATGTAAGGTATGAGCAAGCTATATGGTGAATGTTTAGATTTTTAAAAATTATTACAATAAAAGACACACTGCTTTTAATCCACTTCAAAGCATTCCCTTTTGCCTCCAACACACTTTACCACTTTCTGAAGCAGTTCTGGAAGTCCTCTTTCCTGAGTGTCTTTACAAATTGTGATAAACAACACAGTTAATGCTGCTGCTGAGCGCCATCCAACAGAAAGGCAGACTGAAAAGCGTGACGGTGTGTCTTCATCCACATTAGTCACCAGATCTGGCACTGTGAAATTTCTGACCCCAAAATCAAAATGACCGTGAAGGGGAAACATTTTGAATCATGTTCGGACATTGAGGCTCGGACAGAACAACATTTTCTGAAAGAAGATCTCCAGAGCTGCTTTAGAAAGTGGCAAGAATAATGGGATAAGTGTGTTCCAAGCAAGGAGGAGTATTTTAAGGATGATTGATGGGAATGTGTCTTTTACTGTAATAACTTCTAAAATTTTAAGCATTCACAATATATACATTTTGATCATCCTGTGTGCCTAGCACAGGCCTGACCTGCATTGGATGTTTAGTAATTCTTTGATAAAAGAACAGATTAAAACAGTGAAAAGAACTTGAAAACAATAACCTACCCAGCTCTTTAAAAATCTTAAAATGAGTCTCAAGAGTTTTGATCTAGATTTCCAATATTAAGTTGCCATAGAAACCAGAGGAACACTTTCTTTCCGTGAAAGTATTTACAATTGTCCATAAAGAAAGAAACATCAAAGAAAGCTCCCCATTTAAATGAAAATATCACATGGGTTAAGATGTTCTGGCTGTTTTTTCTGATAGAAAATAGAGGTGACCAGGCTGGGGATTTAGCTCAGTGGTGCTGCCACCTGCTTCGAAAGTACAAGGTCCAGAGTTCAATCCCCACTACCGAAAAAAAAAGAAAAGAAAATAGAAGTGCCAGAGACCCAGCAAACATGTTTGGAGGTGGGCATAATTGGTTAGGACAGTGCAGTGTGTTTGGCCTTCTCCGGTTGGGCCTAGGTAGAATTAGAGACAAAATTTAGGCAAACTGAGCCAGGCATGATGGTGCACATCTGTAATCCCAGAAGCCTGGGAGGCCGCGGAGGGATGATCACAGGCCTAGACAACTTAGCTACTTAGCAAAAGGCTTTCTCAAAATAAAAAATAAAAAAGGGGAACCGGGCATGGTGGTGCATATCTGTAATCCCAGCACTTGGGAAGCTGAGGCAGGAGGATCGCTGTGAGCTTGAGGCAGCCTAGTGCGTTCAGGGCCAGCCTGAACTACAAAGTGAGACCCTGTCTCAACACTCCGCCCACCCAGGAAAAAGGGTCAGGGATGCAGCTCAGGATGAAGGCCCTGGGTTCAATCCCCAGTATGAAAAAAAAATTAGGGAAGCTGACAGCTATGAATGAAGTCCTGGCTCCCAGGCTGACTGTTACATTGGTTAATGTTTGGCTTCCTGGACTATTTGGTAGAGACAGGGACCTGACTTGCTGCAAGTTCAACTTGTAGAGAGCAGGCTCACTTCCTGGGCCTGTTGCTATAGATCAGGGGTCACAATTCTGTTCTGGCCTTTGTCCAGTTCTGTATTCAGCCTCTCATTAGGACACTTCTTATCCCATTGTAAAAATTCAGAAAGAGTGTTCATGGAATAAATGGACTGACTCTCTATGCAAATTTAAGCTAGTCTCTCGCCTTCAGTCTCCATCCCCCTTTTTAACAGCGGTGACGGTATACAACCTACTCATATAGGCATTGTGCTTGATACACCAGGAATGAGAAGGAATTAATGGCCGCTCCTTTCAGGCTGGTATTGACCTCCCACATGCTAGGCAAGCACTCTACCACTGAGCTACATCCTCACCCTGCATTTCAGTCTTTTTAAAATGAAGATATTCCAAACCAGGCATGGTGGTGCCCACCTGTAATCCCAGCACTTTGGGAGGCTGAGGCAGGAGGACCTCAATTTGAAGCACACCCTGGGGAACTTAGAGAATCTAAAAAAAAAAAATGCAGGCAAAAACTCCTGTGTTGTACTAGAAGGGAGTAGGAGACAGGAGTTACATTTCAGGGGAGGATAGAGGCTGGAAGTCGGGAGGCCCTGGGGTTGATAATGTTTTCTTTCTTAATCTGGGGGCTGGCTACATGGTTGTGTTTGTGGAAATTTCTCAGGTACTTTTCTGTCGAGTGGGTTTTATTCCAATAGCAGGTTGACTTAAAAAAATAAAAAAGGTTGTTCTCCCCTGTGATGTTGGCTTGAGGTGTGGTAGTTGGAGGTAGTACGTTGGACACTGGCCAGCTACTGCTGCCTTCCTGTACCTGGGGTGATGGATGGCAGGGCCCTTCCAGGCTCCCATCACATGAGACCTTGGCACTGCACACAGGGCCCCTTGCATTCACATAGGGGAGTGAATGGAGTTGCCTGGCAGGACTCATGAGGTGGCCGTGCCCTGTGACCAAAGGAGGTTGCTCCACCGTGAGGAAGGGAACATCATTCTGCCCCATCACAGATGGCCCCTGCCCGGCCCATCCACCCCAGCCCTCTTGGTTTTCTCTCTAAGGCACCTGTCGTGCTCCGAGATGAGCTGTTTGCTCACTTTCCTGCTTGTTTATCATTCTCCTCCTCCTCCAAACGGAAGCTTCCGGAAGGTAAGGACTCGCTGTGTGGTAACACTCAGACCCCAGAACTTGGCATTTGATTCTCTGGAGGCTCCAGCAGCAGGAACTAGCGGCTAAGTGTTCACAAAGTGGACACAGTGGTGGTCTGAAGTCTTATTTAAATAACAGCCAGTGTGGCTTGGGGTTTCCCACGCAGAGAGAGAGAGAGAGAGAGAGAGAGAGAGAGAGAGAGAGAGAGGGAGAATCAAAGGGGAGGGGAGGGAAGAGAAGAAGGGACACCAGGCTTTGTGTGGGACGTGTGAATCACGCAACTGCCTGGCACGGACAGAAAATGGGGACAGTTACTAAACGTGTCATCAGAATTGCTAGAGAGACTGATGTGGAAGACGAATTGCAGAGGAAACTCTTCAGTGTTTTACAGGGTCACAGAAAAATTAAGGGAGACTGTCGGGAGCAATGCTCCATAATTTTAGGGGAAATCATTCGGTTAGCCTAGTTCTCCCGCCTACAGCCCAGCTATGGCATTCCGAGAGTAACTCCATTTTGGCCTCGGGTCACAACTGAGACCTCAGTGATCCTGTGATGCTGTGATTCTCCAGGGCAAGATTACACCAGCTGAAGACATCCTGGGAGGAACAAAATCCTCATCTACTCAGTTCCTCATTGTTCTTGGATTGTTACACCTTGTTTGTCCCCATGTACTGAGCTCTCCGTCCTGAGTCATTTGTTCCATTTGTTTCTCCCCATGTACTGAAGTCTCTGCAAGTCATTTGTTACATCTGTTTGTCCCGATGTACTGAATAAAGGTGCGGTAAACTGGGGGCTTTCGTCTTTGCCTCCCAGAGCAGCACTGATCACACTCAAAGCTCAGCTTCTTCTCAGTCTCATTTTTTCTACCTTTCCTGTATAGTAAGTTAATCCACCTTGTGCTGCCGTGGCTTGCAGGAGACCAGGACTCACTGCAGACGTTCTAGTAACGTCCCCTTTCCCTGTTCCCTACAAGAGAACACTAAATCCTAGATATGGGCTGTTACTGGGGATTGAACCCAGGGCCTTGGCGCTAAGCTTCATCCCAGCCCTTTTTATTTATTTTGTGACAGGGTCTCACTAATTCCCTGGATTGCTCAGGCTGGGCTCCAATTTGTGATCCTCCTGCCTCAGCCTCCCAGAGTGCTGGAGTTACAAGCATGTGCCACCATGCCCAGATAAAGGCCTAGCTTCTTAAGTGTGGGTGATGAAATAGCAAGACCCACAGAAAAGCAGCTTCTGACAAGTTAGAAAAGCTAAAAAGAAAAAAAAAATCTGACTTGCAGCATGTCTCTGTGTGGTGAGATGGGGGATCTAATTACAGGAGTGTGTTTATTTATAAATGAGATTCTTCTCTAGAAGGGGGTTTCCTTTCCTGCTCAAAGAGACTCAACAATGACTTGTTTAGTAAGATGACACAAGAGGGAGGGCTTAGGACAAGCTCCTTAGCAAGGTGAAGATACTGCTCTTTACTAAGAGAGACTGTAAAATACATCAGGGCTGAGAAAGAAGGGCAGCTGGCAGGCTTCCCAAGTGAATGGATGAATGGCAGAGTGGTGGTAGACCCCAAGAGGACATGACCCATGTCTATAAGCGCTGACTGCTCCTGGGTTGACCGTTCTCATGAGCCCTGGACAGCATGCATCCCTTGTCACCTCCTGAGGGTTAGGAATGAAATAAGGCCCAGGATGACTACTGCTTACATGCTCTGTGGGGCCAGTGCAAAATGAAGGTGCAAGTCTCCCCATTCAGAGTTATTAAGACTTTTAAGTCAGAGTGATAATATATCATTGCGTCATTTAGTTATTGCAACAGCTCTGTGAAATTTCATTGTTCCCGTGAGGAAAAGGAAAGCTGACAGACACTCCAGTGGCTGGGTCTGTAGCTCAGTGGTACAGTGCTTGCTTAGCTTGCACAAGGCCATGGGTTTGATACCTAGTACCAGGAAAAAAAGTAAGATTCAAGAAGAGACAGTGACTGAGAGCAAGACTTCAGATCAAATAGCTACCTACGTGGGAGAGCCAGAACGCATCCTTGGAATCTTCC